GAGGCCCCTGCGCGTGATCCCGGCCACAGAGGGCGGGGCCGGGGTTCGAGCGCCGAGCCTGGAGCTCGGACCCGGCACCGCCCAGCTGAGCCGTCCGCCTCGCAGGCCCGCCAGCCCGCCGGCAACTACCGCCTTGGGGAGCTGCCCTGAGAATCTTTCCGGGTGTTTCCAAAGATTTGCGATGCAACCACTGTCCTTAACCAGCAGTTTTCTGCCTCTTTGCCTTTGCTTGTGTTATGCTTTCCACCTGGAAGCCCTTCCCTTCACCGTAAATGTCACACTTCCTCGCAGACCAGCCCAAATGCCATTCTCTCCTCCATCTAAAAGGAACCCCCTTTTTTTGAAGATTTTTTTTCATTTATTTGACAGAGAGGGGGGGAGGGAACACAAGCAGGGGGAGTGGGAGAGGGAGAAGCAAGCTCCCCGCTGAGCAAGGAGCCTGATGTGGGGCTCCATCCCAGGACCCTGGGACCATGACCTGAGCGAAGGCAGACATTTAAACGACTGAGCCACCCAGGCACCCCGAAAAGGACCCCCTTTTAATGCATTTGTTCAACAAGTACTTATTAAGTACTGCAGATACGTATACCAAGCTCTGCTGGTGGCTCAGGAATTCTAAGTCCCTGCCCTGGTGGAACTTGCCGACAATAAATAACCAAATAAAAAACGGCAGTGGGCATGCCCAGTCTGGACAAAAATAAGGCAAGGAGGAGTTGCTTGTTATTGTCTGTAGGGTGGCCAGGCAAAGCCTCATTAGTAAAGTGACATTTGAACAGAAACTTGAAGGAGGTAAGGGAGCAAGCCACACGGATGTCTGCAAGAAGGGTGCTCCAGGCAGAGCGAGCAGCCATTGTGGAGAGCCCATGTGATGGTGTTAGGGGACAGCACAGAGGCTGGGGTGGTTGGCAGTGAACTGGAGATGGGGAAGGCATAGGAGATGGGAGGAGTGAGGGTCCTAACTCCTTCCATGGCAAGAAACCTAAATTCACCGTCTGCCTGGGACTGAAGGTTGAGAAGGACATCACAGTCCCTCTCTTCCCGTCTCTGACTCACCCCCCACCTCCCAGTGAAATTACCTAACACAATGCCAGGAAGATTGCAGATCTCTCTCTCTCTCTCTCTCTTTTTGCATACAGGAATGCATAAATACTAGTATTGTTATTGGGGGCTTCCTATAACCCAGGCAACATGCTTGTTTTCTTCTCACAGCAACACTGTGAGCTAGATGCTACTACTATCATTCCTATTTTGTAGCTCCAGAAATTAAAACTCAAAGAGGCTACATCACTTAACGAAGCACACACAGGCAGGAGGTGGAGGAGCAGGGCGGTTCTCCATGAGAGGCCTGCTTCCTCAGGAGGGAACCAGAGCCCGGTCATCCCAGGCAGCCTGCTGCCAATTGCTGCCCCACCTGCTTTGCTCTTTCCTCAGGGACCCGCGTGGGCGGCTGTTCACACCAGAGCCTGGAAGCCACGCTGCAGCGTCTGCCTGCACTCCCCACACCAGAGCATGCCGAGTCCCTCAGGGTAGGCCAGCTCCAGCCAAGGACCCAAGTTGTCAAGCCTCAGGTGGCACCTCAGCTGCCCCTCCTCATCCTGACACTTCCCTTGTATCAGTGGCTGCTCAGGGTCTTACCCTTTCCCTCTCAAAAGTATGGCCTTAATGTTTCAGGAAACTCTGAGCCTGGTGTCAACAAAGACTCCGGTGGATGTTTAGAAAATTTCTCTTACCCTTATTTCCTTTCCTTGGCATCTGCAATACTTTGTCATAGCAACAGATGTCTCCCGTGAGCTTGTGAACTGAGGACCTTTTAATATCATCCTTGTCTTTATTGAAAAGCCATTAATAAATAATTATTCACTAAGCCCCAGGGTTAACCAAAGAAGGGAATGAGGCAAGTCACACACAGTTCCTGCCTCCAAAAAACATCTGTTCTTTTGTGGACTCCTTTCAAGTTGGCAAACATTTCCTGAGCCACCCCATCCAGGCCCGTGGGCATGGGGCGGGGATATATGAGGAAGAAGGAGGCAGACTGGCCCTCACCTGCTCCCCACCCTCCACCCCCCGGGAGTGCACAATCTGTGGGGAGGAGGACAGCAGCATAACCAGATCGCTGTCATACAGGTGGACTTCCGATTTGTCAGAAAGAAAAGTTTCTCCAGAGGAAGAAGTTGGATGTGAAGACAAGTTCATGCACTCCAACATTGATTCAAGCGCCCTCTGACATACTGTTGAGTTGTTGGAGTACATCAAGCTGGAAAGCCTGTTCTGTTGAACAGCTGGGCCTCTACTGGCAGATATGAGGGACCAGATATGGGGATATATGATGCATTTGAGATGGAGGCTCATCTGGATCTTTCTGGGAGAGTTTAGATTTGAATAAGGGTGAACAGCTAGCATTCATGGGCAGCTGTGGTGGACATACCTGAAAGTAACCCCCAAGGAGTCACACCCTTGTATAATCCCCTCCCTTTGGGTGTGGGTAGAACCTGAGCTTCTAACCAATAGAATATGGCAAAGGTGAGACAGTATTTCACATCTGTGACTACATTTTGATGTACGTATAAGTCCATCTTGCTAGCACATATGAGACTTCTCCTGCTGGTCTTGGAAAAGCCATATTGTAACTGCCCCTGGAGAGGGCCACATGGCAGGGAACTTTGGAGGGTCTTTATGACTGGAGGGTGGCCTCCAGCCAACAGCCAGTAGGAAGCTGAGAACTTGGTCCTAGAACCACAAAGAAATGGATTCGGCCAACAACCGCATGAGCTTGACAGAGGACTCTGGACTCCAGAAGGGAATGCAGCCAGGGTATGTGACGCTACCCAATTCTGGGCAGAATGGATGGCCTCTCTGTCCTCAATCTAGCTATGGCCATAATCAAAGAAAAGACTGAGGGAAAAGGGGATGTCTTCCATGTTTCAACAAAGCCCAGGAGGCCACAGACACAGCTGAGATTGAACTTGCAGGGCAACTGGAGAGGCTTGGAGGAGGAAATGCTGAAGTAGAGGGACATACGATGCAGAAGACCTGAAAGCGAAAGCTGAAGACTCACTCTGTTGGCCACGAAATCCCATGTAAGGAAAAAAAAAAGCAGATTTTTTTTTTCCCAAGTAGTTACTTATCCCAACAGACCAAAATATGAAACACCCTCCTAAATATCAAGGCCATCCACATGGTAGCTTCAACTCACTGAGAAGTTTTTAAGGGAGCAGATTGGTTTCCCTAAAAATGAAAATATCTTGTCTCCCATGTCTCCAGATTGGCACCACTTTGTAACTCTGTGCCTACATGAGATTTAATAGGGGCATCCAAAGAAAACAGCCCCAGTCTTTCTATACCGAATATGTACAAGCAAGTAGTAAATACGTTTCTGGAATATTAAAGAAATAATTATTGGTTCCACCCTCCAGTTCGAGTTAGTGAACCAGACATAGGCATTTATTGTCTTGTATGGTCTGCGTTCCTCAGAAAGCTGACTAACATACAGTTAAGTGTGCGGGATGTCTGTCGGCAAGTGCCTTTGGGAGAAATCCGTGTAGAAAGGATGAGAAGGGAGCAAGAGTGGGAAGAAGCAGCAGTTGAGCTGTGATACGGGCCCTGGCTAACCCCGTGGGCCAGTCTAGAACTAGAGCAGCCCTTCAGAGTCGTCTCAAGTTAGGCCAATATGGCCAGATATTTACACATCACCTTCATAAGTCATTGGACGCAGCTACCCTGGGAGGGGTCCAAGCTTGGGCAAGGTGGCTCTCTGCAGCTGCGGCAAGCCCTAAAGGGGTGGACAGCCTTGAAGGAGGTGCCCTCTCAGCAACTGGAGCAAGAAGGCCTTCGCCGGAAGGGGGTTTAGGTGGCACATCCCTCTGCCCACCACACCTCTTCCTCCTTTTAAAATAATCATGAAGGAACAAAAACAGTATAACCTGACAGCAAGAAAGAATGGGAAAAGATGCTCAAGTTCATCAGTTCTTAGGGAAATGTAAATCAAAACCACAAAGAAGTAGCACTTCATACCCACTAGGATGACTGTTATCAAAAACTCTTACAATAACAAGTGCTGGTGAGGATGTGGAGAAAAACCGAACTCTCATACATTTGCTGGTGGGAATGTAAAATGACTCAGCTGTGGCAGAAATAGTTTTGCAGTTCCACAAGAAGTTAAACATAGAATTATCATAGGCTCAGCAGTTCTGCGCTTAGATATATACCCAAAGGGTTGGAAAACTGGTACTCAAATTTGTGTACATGCCTGTTCATAACAGCACTATTGACAACAGCCAAAGCTAGAACCAGCCAAAATGTCCATCACCAGATAAATGAATTGCGGTCTAGCCACACGGTGGAATATGACACAGCCATGAAGAAGGCATGGAGCCCTGGTGCGTGCTGCAATATGGAGGACTCTGGAAGGCATCATGCTAATGGAAAGAATCCAGACACAAAAGGTCACATATTGTATAATTCCATTTACATACAATATTCTGAGTAGGTAAATCTATAGAGAGAACACACATTGATGGTTGCCAGGTGTTGGAAAAGGGGTTGGGGAGCAACTGCTGAACATGTACGAGGTCTCCTTTGGGGCTGACAGAAATGTTCTGGAACTAGATAGAGGCACCAATTGTACAACATTGTGAATGCACTAAATGTCACTGAATTGTTCACTTTAAAATGGGTAATTTTGTCTTACATGAATTTTATCTCAATTTAAAGAAAGGAAAAGATGGAAGGGAGCCTGCAATGGCTTAAGAATTCCACCAAATTCCTTGAAGCTGCCACAGTGGAGACCAATGAAGCCACAGCTTAGAATACCTACAAAGGGACTTCAGCTAAGGAGGGGGCAAACTCAGCCTAGCC